TCCGGTTCATGATGGATCTTCAAGGCCTGCATTCCCTAAAGTGGATGCTTTAATAAATACCTTTACTCAAGCCCAGCATATTACAATAATTGCTGTGCACTGATGAAATTTCATATTTAAATAAATGTGTATATTCTTTAATGATCAATGAATATGATTTAAAAATGATAATTTTTAAAATCTTTAGAGACCAGAGATTGAAAGTACAGGTGTTATCAAATCCTTTCTAATTTTGCCCATCAAGATTTAACATTTGTGCTGTATATACTATATAGAGTCATTATTATATTGCTTAGAGTGATTTGGTTTTAACTACTAAAGGATTTTAATCATCCGTTACTTTCAAGTATTTATTGTGATAGCTTTGTGGTTTCAGAATGTAAGCATGAATCATTTTGCAGTGAATTTAATACAGGACATGTAAATGCAAATTTTTCTATTGCTGTGTAACAGAGGAGGCTTGTGTGGTTTGGAGAAACATATGCACTAATATAAATCTCAGTGAGAATGCCTCCCAGAAGGGTATATGCCTGAGGCATGACGCGTTTGGCCCCTTTTTGTAGGCAGGTCTCATCATCAGTGATTATTCAGGACTGGAAGAGTTAGCAAAGGAGTAATAACAACTATTTGGAGGCATCAAACATGTGCTTCATTGGTTCCAAACATTTTAAAGCATTCTCGGAAATTTATGTCAACAATTAGGAATTAGTCTGCTACCTCAACCTTTCTCTACAGTAGATTATGTATTTGACTGTACATGGCCACTCTAAGCATGGCCGTAGACAATAACATGAGGTTGATTGTTCACATACAGCCAGACAGCTACTCATTTTAAACATTGAATATGGTTTACCGAAGAAGAATATTTTTCACTTAGATCAATGGAGCTACATTGACTTCAATTATCCAATTAAATAAAAAACAAATATATATTTATACATTGCTCTGCACATGATTGAGTATTTACACATATGTAAGTAAAGAAATGTACACCTTATTTAATCATGCCCATAGACAGGTACTGGTATTTTACTAGTATATATGTTTACAATTATGCCCCTATGTAGATTTTATACAGAGAAACAATAACCAGGAAGATCCAATCTAGTTAATATTAGACTTTTCCTCCCACAAGCTGTCAGTCAGGGTCTTGAGGTATGAAGTACCAATAGACATATAAATTAAAAACTGGCACACATGGGTGATAACCATCTAATCATCTTGATGCTTTATTCTACAAACAGATCTCTAATATCATCTACATTTTACTGCTGAACCCTCTCCAACTGGGAGGACGTTTTAGCAGCAAAACACTTAATGATATTACGGGTGTCTATAGAATTTTTTACAAATTCTACAAATGTTCAGCACTGAGAAATGCTAACCCTAGCTATATATCATGTATATATGCTAATGATCATGGTAAGCAAAGTTCTATGTATTAGTTCAGATTGAAAGAAATTGAACTCAATGCATAAAAGGGTGGGTCAGGGGCAGTAAGGCTAGGGAGGTTAGGCTAGGTAATGCTGTGGTAATGCTTAATGCTTGTCAAAGTGGCAATCTCACAATTATTTCCATTATTTGTCAGTTTCTACTTTACCATTAAATCCTTTGGGTATTACATCAAGTCTTACTTGGGGAATACTATTATCCTTTGTGGGGTATTTAAGTTGGTATCAGTATTATTGTTAGAAAACTATTATTTATATGTAGTAAGCATGTATGCTTGTATGTATTTCGTAACTCTGTACAATGGATGGGTAATCATACAGCCATTTTAGTATGGGGTAATAAGCATTGCTTAACTTGGGATCTAGACCTCTTTCTATTATCTCAAGGTAGTTTTTTTTTTCAGGCCTCATAAAATTGGGGTGATATCTTATGGTACATATGTTTGGTGCCACTACATTTTACAGCTAAAAATTTGAAAAGTCTAGAAAAGAAAATTGCTCACACACAAAATCATTATTTATTGAACTTACTGTTACCCTAAACCTAACCTCCTCATTGTAAACATTATCCAAACCTCAGCCTAAACCTTCAGCCTACCTCTTAACATAAACCTAAGTCTCAAACCTTAGCATAATCACTAAAACTAACTATTAACTAGGGATGCACCGATACTTTTCGAGTACCAGTGCCGATACTCTGCATTTTCATGAGAACTACCAGGGTTGCAACGGTTGCAGCTGGGACCAAGGTCAGGTGCTCCACCACTGTCCTGAAATCATTAGTCTGTATTGTTTTAGAAAAACTGTAAAATGACAATAAACAAAAATGTATCAGTACGTGTACTTGTAAGTACTTGGGCAAGTACCAGTATTTCTACTTGCAAAACTGGTATCGGTGCATCCCTTTATTTATATTTAAGCTTGTACCGAGTACGGTACTTGGTATCAGTGCATCCCTACTATTAACCTTGACCATACCTGTAAACCTAGCCCTTAACCTGAGCACAACAGTGAAAATCTAACCATAAACCCTAAAGTAACCAAAAAATATAATTATTAACCTTGACCAAAACCCCTAACCACCCAAACTAATAACCTTAATGTAATTCCCTAAACCTTACCCTAACCACTGAATTTAACTAATAACCTTGACCTGATCCTTAACCTCCTTGGCGGTATTCCCGAGTGTGGCTCGGGGTTAATTTTCTGTACCATAAGCGGTAACCCCGAGCCACACTCGGGAATACACAGCCCGTCTCTTACCTTGTCCCTCGAGCCGTGCTGTGTCCTCCGGCTGATCTTGTCCCTCGATCCGTCTTCCGGGTTCCGTCCCTTGCGAGCATCCGCGTCGCAGGGGGCGGAACCGGCGGGAGATTCAAAAGTTTTTTTTTTTAAACGAAAACAAATAGAACAAAAAAAGGAAAGAAAAAATCATACCGACAGGGAGGTTAAACCTAATGTTAACCAAAGCACAACCCTTAAACTTAACTCTTTATATACATTTACTCCTAAAGTTAACATCGACATAGCCTTTAAATGTAACCCTTAGTTAAATCTCATACATACCTGTAATATTATTGAGATTACAGTAATTTCTAAATGAACATAAAACTATTACACCAGCAACTCTGCAGATAATATTGAAATGTACTTGCACCCAACCCAAAAAGTGCCCACAGAAAACTTTGCACCCAAATTTTGGCACCAAGAATAGTGATTCTTGCTATAAGGGTTTAAAGAACCGAGACTTGAGAATGGTGTATTAACTGTTGAACTGCTATTGAGATGTTTCCCTTCTTTTACAAGCTGTAACTTGCATAGCCTTTCCTTGACTATTTTACATGTAGTAAGGCCACTTTGTCCATATATTATAAGAACAATATATTAGACGCAATCATATATTATTCCTCGAATAATATGCATCCTCGAAGCTACTGCTGATCTAGGGATAGAGGGAAACATAGACACAAATTCCACCTTTCCTTTGGATAATATAGATTGTTCCATGACCCCACGCTGTACGCTGGAAAGTTTCCTGGATCAGCGTGATATCAAGAGCTATTAATCTTGACCAGCTATTAAATAACATGTATATTTATATTATCCTGTTGCCAATGCTAACTCTTGAGTTGTGTCCCTGCTGAGTTGGATTCTATGTCAGTAGTTCAGCCTTTTAATGTCATACCAGCTACTGCATATCACAAATCAATACTAAAATATATGTTACGGTGCAGAGATCACAAATCTCTATCCTACAGCCACAAAGATGCCACCTCTCTGGGACATGCTTAGGGCTACTTCTATTCTATTATTATCGTTAAACAATCATATCATCAGACTTGCCCATACTTTGATATTCTGAAAGAAGCCATACTACTCTCCCCTCAGAACACCCATAGACATAGACAGAAGACACTTTAGACTAAAATGTTTATTTGTATTGTGTCGTTCTATAGATCTAAGATCTTCTATAGCTGTCCGTCATCTAATAAAATTCGAGATTAATTTTCGGGCAGATGAACAATCTATTCTCAAGTCTATATTACCATCTCAAGTTAATTGTATTATATCAATCAACATTAGTAACTATAAGCATATGGAATAACTGTACATCGAATACCTGTCATTTTGAGTTTATCTATCCCTACGATGTGAGCATCATAGCCATTTCTGGTGTCAAAGATTATTTGTATGGAAGACTATTTGTGCAGAAAATCGTTTCTGCTGTTCGAATGACTATTCTCAAGTCCCTGCCTGACTAGAACTGATCAAACAAGTCACAGTCTAATAGTAAAATCCTTGTACAGTGTCTATTAGATGCCATTTTTTACTTTGAATACCCAATTATGTGCTAAAAAATTCCTTTGTCTTCCTGTCCCTCACACATATTCAAAGTGAACAAAGCTGCACCTTTTTTCAACATTCTCTTTGCAAAGTGAACATTCACTTTACTAGGTAAAAAGCCTCTGCTACTTTAGTAAATCAACCCTATTTTGTTCAATTTATATCCATTTGTATAGGTCCTAATGCTCTATAATTGTTGACAAATCTAAAGGTGATTGTATGGCCAGCTTTATATCTATCTGCAAAATGGGACATATACCAAGAAATAATACAATCTATTATTATAGATGTAAGGTGATTGTAGCTTTCTAATGTAGTCAACAAGACAGTTGAGTAGAGTCCATGATTATTTTTTTATTTGCATTAACAGTTCATTTTTTAAGGCAAGTTTTCAGGGGCTACCTCCTTCTTCTAGGTTCAAGCAATACTGTTTAGACCTAGAAGAAGGGGGTATTCCCTTAAAAAACTGTGTAATGTTAGTTCATAAAAAAGCATTGAGAACAGTGCTCAATTGTGTAATTTGTTACAAGCAATCCAATTTACTCACCGCAAAAATCATTCAGTCAAGAACATGTAATCAGTAAGCATTCATCCAACAGGAGTAGTAGTTAAGTATAGTTTCCACTTTCAGAGTGTAGCCATTAATAATCAGATATAAATGTCTCTATGCCTCCCGCTCTCAGAGAGTCAGCTCACCCCCTTTACCTGGCTGTACTTGACTTCCTGATCGAGGCAGCCTTTCTCCAACCCGTTGATCATGTGCTGGGAAGACTGGAAACTATTCCTACTTAGACTGCTCCATTCTTCCACCTTAGGGCTGTGGTAGGGTGATGTGTCGCTGACTGGGGAGAAAAAGGGCAAGAGTTACCAATACATTCCTGTGTACAGAGGCAAGCCTATGCTGCATGTAGCTGATGAGCTATGTATTATAGGTTGTAAACTCATCAAACACTGCAGAAATGCAATTCACCAATGCCGATAAATGAATAAGAGTAATAAAAATTCCTTTTTTTTTCCCAGAGCGAATAAAATAAATCTCTGTGCATGTTTTTAGCATCTGCAACCTTCAGTAAGAAATGTTTTTATGACTAATACTGTGAAACATACACAGCTAATAAGAACAGCATGTGTATAAAATAGGAGTATATACTTTGGAATTGCTTTACCTGGAAACATAATAAATATTTATGCTCGGCACAATCTCTATGCTATGTACAAATTCTTTTACCTATTTTATTCAGCTTATACTGTGAAACTGTGAATGGACCGATATCTAGATTCATTATTTTATTTTATTTTAGTTGTTTTTCCTTTTTATACAACTTGATAGATTGCAAGCTCTTTAAAACAGACCAATTATTCCCTTTCCTGCTTTTCATAAATGTGTTATTGTAATCTTTGACATCTACAGGACCCTGCTATTTACTGAAGGAGTCAAGAATCTTCATTCAATAAATTGTGTGAATAATAGGTTATTCATTCATGTGAAAAGTAAATTCCTGTTCAATTTAAATGTGCAGTGATGTGCAGATGAAATAAATAAAACATGAAGTTACATTTCGCATGACTGGATAATTAGAGTGAATAGTCACACAATTTGTTAAGTGAAAGTTCTCAACCTCTTCAGTAAATCAGCTAAAAGAGTGTAGTAATGTATCAGCTATCAGTTGTAAGTTTTACAGATTACATGAAGCATGTGTAAGCGCTAAATACTTTTTACTGTCTATCAACTAAAGAACCAAAAATGTATTGTGCCTTGGGATCTGTCAATGTGTAGTCAGATTTAAAGAAGAACTCTGGGCAGAAGAGATCTTATCCCTTGCAGCGAGGCTACCCCTGCAAGGTAAGTGCTCCGTTTCATACAGGGTCTAAAATAACAAAGTTATACTCACCTGACAGGGGTGCGTACAATGGTCAGATTTTATTCATACATTTAAAACTAAAGTTATGTTTTAATTTGTTAACTACTTAAGTGACATTAAAGTCTAATTTCTTGTTCCTCCCTCCCCTATGCTGGTGTAATGATAGGTGTAAGGAAATGATGCCTCTTGAACCGATCATCTTCTTCCTTACAGTAGTTTTCAGGAGTCCCTACAGCGCTGGTGCCGGTCTCTGATCCAGCGCTGACTGCTGTGTCTTCCTATACCACAGAGTCTTGCGGGCTGCCTGCATTGACTTACCCTTGTCTCTCCTCTTCTCCTGGCCGATGATCTCTACTGCCCCACTTGCCCCATGATCCTTTGCGGCCATCCTAGAGCCTTCAGATCTTCGGACGGGAGCGTGTGGCAGAGACACAGGTAAGCTTTAACTTTTTTGGAGACTTTTTAAAAATGTTTTTGCATATATCTACTACTTGCTAGCAGTAGATATATGAAAAGAACCTTGAGGGTTTAATTACCCTTATGTAAAGTCCATCTAAATCTTCTAGTGCATCTGACACTACCCTCTCTACAGGTTGACAGTGCTGCAAGAGTGGCTAGGTTGCTCATCCATGCATACTGTGGACGATTAAGTGTAGCCGCCCTAAGACAGGTAATGTGTTACTAGCCAGATAAGATGGAAATAAAGGGGAAAAGCTGAAGACAAATACAGCCATTATTTGTCTTCAGCTTTTATCAGTCTAAGGATTGATAAGTGGTAAAATATTTAAAGTTTGTTCTTAGGTTTAGATACAACTCACATCTTTACCTTTTTATCTCTACCGTGCCTGTTGCATGTTGCAGGTCAGTCACATTAAATTAAATTAAATAAAAAGACATTTTTATGCACCTGAATACATATTACGTGTATGTTAATGTGTTGGCAGCAGGATCTTGTAGAATTCAAATATGCATGAAAGCAGATAGGATGGTGTGCAAGATACACCTCATTATAGATTGTTCAGTAGCCTGTAAATGCAGGTTTTGTAGGTCTCCTTGTCGGATACAAATCTGAGAGACGCATTTATATTCAAAACAATAAAATGCACAGCACTGGTATTAGCTATTGTAAAAATAGATAGATAGATAGATAGATAGATAGATAGATAGATAGATAGATAGATAGATAGATAGATAGATAGATAGATAGATCCAGAGTTTAATGGGAAAATTGGCACATGGTTTGCAAATTAGGAGTCTTGACACATTTTGAGGCCGATTTACTAAAGAGAATCTTCAGTCAATCACGAGCAGATGAAATAAATAAACAGGAATTTGCCTTTTACTTTATTGGCTAATATAACTTAATACTCACTCAATTTATTGAGTGAAGATTTTCATCTCCTTCAGTAACTCAGCCCTTTTTGTGTCTTTGTGAGATGGTGATGATGGTGAAAGTCTCTTGAAATATCCATACCACACTGATGATGGATTTTCAATCAACAGACATATTGGGAACAGTTCAGTCCTAAGGGTTGATTTACTATAGGAGTAGAGACAAAGTGAAGGTGCCCTATAGTAATATACGATGAAGCTGTGTTCACTTCAGTTAGCCAATCATTTGGAGAAAAAAAATTCTGCTGTGAACACAGCTGCACCTTATTTATTAACTTTGGTGAGGGTTCACTGTGCAAAGTGGATATTTACTTTACTAAATGAACAGTCTCTAGTCCTTTACTAAATCAGTCCACGCAATGTTCTACATTATGTGATAAGGGTCCTATACTAATACAGAACAAATGATATTAATATAGTACCAACAGTATAAACTGGTTATAATAAAATTGGACACATCATTCAAAGATTAAAGGGTAACTTTACCTTTACATAAAAGTTCCCATATATTCACCCTTACCCCCATGATTAGATGAATGCATAAAACTACAGCCCTTCAATGAAACTTTTCTCCCAGTTCACACTACCACAACCTGTCTATGGCGGCATTTACTGCCTGTGGGAACCAGTACGTTGTGCATACTTATACACCCACCATAGAGACCAATGACCTACCTGTTTCCTTCTTGCTGCATGGAGATAAGCAGGCCATTCCCCTCTGTGGCCAGCTGCTGGTTCCCAAGAGGCTGTGAACATTTCCCAGCCATGGGCAAGCATAAGTAGCAGTAACTGGGGGAAGCTGCAACCTAAGGTCTGTAGTTGTATTTGTATATTTAATCGTTGGGGGCAATGGCGGCTCTATGAGAAGCGTTTATATAAAGGTTATCCTTTTATTCTTTCATAGGGACTCAAGCACTCTTACTGAAATTGCTATAGGACTTTAGAAGAAAAAGATAAAGCAAAATTTGTATTTTGTCATTATCATTATTTCATAATTATTATGGTTTTATGATACTGGTATAATACTGCTACAATTTTACTACTACTACAACAAGAACTACTAATAGTAATCCTCATCATAATCATCACAATAAAAATATTAATAATCATTTAAAAAATGAAAACAATGAAAAATAACAGTAATTTTATTTTCCTATACATAGATTAGAAAACGTGAATTGTTACTTTCCTATTCCTATTCACATATCTGCACTGAAGCCTGCAGTCCTATGAGAACACCCATCATTGCACTCTATGTAGTGTGCACCCAAACTGTTGCATGCAAATGCAGATATCTCAACGTTGTCAGAGGTTAGCCACGGCGCGCATGCGGTACACAAGTGCAGTGAACCAATATGTACGCACACTAATATTAGTTTTGCCAACAAACAACGCAAACATGTCTCCTCTCAAATTTCACCCCAGAATAGCCAATATTTACTACAATATTCCATCCCTACCTGCACATTCCTTTAATTAAAGGCATATTCCTTATCTATCTGATTTGCTAAAGCATTGCAAAGGGCAATCATGACCTACAAGATTTATTACCCAACAGAAAGCAGCCAGCTTCCAATTAAAGTGGTGAGATCAATAAAAGATAATTGTCTATTGGTTACTATGGACAGCTATCCATAGTTGGACAGTTATGGGTTACTGCTGCTGTCAGTGTATGTTGTATCAGTTAATTTGGTGATGGGAAATAATGGATGGAACAGGAAAAGGGAGATGAAGTAATAATGCTGTACATACATGACTGGAAGTGTGCAGCCACATTCACCCCAGATATAACTGCAGGCTCTGAAATCAGGTTATTAAAATATTGCGGTCAAAGCAACACTTCTGCTGAGTGTATATCTTGGCTTTCCCAGCACGGCAGCCTCGTCAATGTGAGAATTTCACAGCGCCAAATAGAAAATGGAAGCGATCAGAGGAGTGTTGATGTGGGCATTTTGTTGGGATAAATAGTCGGAATCGCAATGGGGGAAGGAAAAGATTACAAAAAATAAAAAAAAATATGACATCGTGCAAAAAATGAGCCAAGCCATTAATCTTCGGGCTCATGAATCACTTAGTGGAAGTGACAGTGAGTCAGTTAATTCAGGTACAGCTTGGAATCTTCAAATCGCATTTTTCTACAAGAAAAATAAGACCGGAGACCCTCGAAGTTCGTACAAGAAAGGCCAGCCTGTGTTTGAAGAAAGGATTAGAAATATGGAAAATACTTAGAATTCCAGAATTTGTCAGAAATGTTTATTTTACAGTCAGGGAGAAAAAAAATAGGTCTCTCCAAAGTTCTTCGCGGTCAAAGCTGAAAATTCTGTCCTAGATCGCAGAAAAATATGTGGAGGAAAAACTGTTGTCATTGCACCCTGGATACCAACAGATATACTGGCAGCTCCTAGGCAACGACAAGAGGAAAGGATCACAGATTGGCACAAAGTGTCATGAAGTGAGGCGCCGATTGCTTAAAGTCTAACCATCCAGCAACCCACATTGCACTTGCATAAATAATAAGCGTCTATACACACATTGTTATAACACAGTGTGATCAAAGCTGCACATTCTGTATTTCCAGATCGCAGAAAAACAGACTTGGAGAAATAACAGAGACAATAATGCTAAAACTGGTGCAACTGCACCCTGCTACCAGCAGATATATACTGTCATCTGCTAGGCAACGACAAGAGGAAAAGATCACAGCTTGCCTGACATAAGGTGTCCATTGCTTAAAGTGTAACCTTTAACAACCCAAATTGCACTTATACTTGCATAAATAATAAATGTCTATGTAAATACATTGTTATAGCACACTGTGATCAAAGCTGGAAATCCTGTATTTCCAGATGGAAGAAAAAAGATGGGGAGAAATAAGAGGGAGAAACGAGGAAACGATCACAGCTTGTCGTGAAATAAGGCGTCCATTGCTTAAAGTGTACCATCAACAACCAATAGTGTGTATTAGGGGCCTACATGAAAAAATCGTAATAGCACAGTGCAGTCAAAGCTGCATATTCTGTTCCACCAGATCGCAGAAAAGGATCAGGAGAAATGATAGAGGCGACAGAGATAAAACTGGAAAGCAACAATTTCCTCAAAGAGCAAGACTGGCAGAAAGGTTCAGAGCTTGCCACAAAGTGTCATGAAATCAGGAACTCAGTTTGCACTTTCATTTGCATAAGCAATAGGTGCCTAAATTAATATTATGCTTATGCTGTATTACCAGCTATACATTTATATATATTTTTTAATGAAAATAAAAAACATAAAAAGGGTAAAGTATACCTCGACGTGAAGTAAATAATCCACTGAGGTAAGTGGACATTGTGTAAGTTTCAATGAGCTCTTCCAGAATATGTTAGTGCTGTGTGCAAACCACTAACTCTGCAGGAGCTCCCACTGGCAGAGCTTCCCAGCACATCTGCTGATTCGCAACTGGCGAAAAGACAGTGAACCGGCGCGTGGAAAGACCATCTATTTGCTATACTGATATGATTTGTGCTCAGTAGGAACTCTCTAGCCTGTAGTTTGAACTCACCATGAATATTTAATTCATGTTCTGGTTTGTATATGTTACACTTTTTTACATTTACTATAAATTCATTATATTATTATGGTAACCTATATTAAATTATTTTGATCTACAAATTTCTTTGTTTCATCTTTTTATATAGAGCCGTGTGCAAGTGCCGACACTTTGGTTTCTTGAATGTCACATTTTAATATAATAAATATATCATAAAATATTATTTAACAGTACTTTTGTGGTGCAAAGGTAATCGCTAACTTTTCTTCTAAATAATAGAAGCAAACAACCTTGGCTATGTCTAGGAAAAAATGGGAAATTATGGACAATTTACTCTCCTACCTACTAAACATTGCCTTGTCAAATTACAAGAGACTGCTTGTTCTAAGCTACCGGGTGCACCAAAAACAATATAAATAGATTTTGTTATAGAGGTATAAAAATAGCAAGTAAGTCTAAAATATCTGTATTTTAATGTAATTTTAAAAAGACCTTATAAACATAAAGATTGAAGCAAAGGTCTGATCTGTAATAAAATGGACCAGTTAAAGCTAAGCTGTTTCCAATAGTGACCAAGCAAGTTCTATGCTATATTTTTTTTAAATTCAGGTTGTAAAATAAATGAAAAAGAAAAAAAAAGACTATTATGGAAATATTTAACCATATTGCCTTTCTGTTGTCCTTAACTGTATGCAGTGTCCCCAGTAAGTCTGATACATTTGACCCCCTCCTGTCCCTCTCCTGCGGCCTTTCTACATTTATAACCAGTTGACACTTTCTCCTGTCCTGTGTCACAGACGACGGTTCGGCCAATAAATTAACAATGTTGCTACAAAGAGCGTAAAAAAAAAAAAAAAAATAATGATCTAAGCAGTCCCAGCAGCAGCAGCCCTGGTCAGTTTGTAGAGCTCAGGAATCTTTCCTCTACATAGCTGAGACACAGAGGAACAAACCCAGACAGTCCCCTCCGAGGCCTGACTGCCAATGTGGTGTTAATAAAAGAGGAAACCATTAGAGGGATCTACAAACATTCCCAATTTGTAATCTAATTCTCCAGTGTGAGGGCCTTTTCTAACCATCATTGCAGGAAATGGTAATCTCTGTATATTTCTCCAGAAGGCTGGGTGTCTTTAGAGGAAAGTAGGATGCAGTGTAAACAGGACTTTCTCTAATGAAGCAATTAATAGGCGCTGCCTAATGGAGAGGGCCTTGTTGGGTAGCATGGGTTCGGTTAGGCAGAAGGGGCATTTATTGCTGGCAGGCCCTGTCCTAGGAACTTGTCAATAAGGCACTCTGATGGCAAATAAGGGCTCCTATCCTGTCCTATCCCCTGCTTGGATTAGGAAGGAAGAAAATAAGCAGAAAATTAGTCTCTAGGTGAACAGCAATTCTCTCCTTCTGTTCTGAGTATGCCCAGAGGTTGTACTTTGTGCCTAAGAATGAAACCAATTATCTGACATTTGAACTTCCTGTCTGGGTAAATTTAGGCTGATTGCACAAACTCAAGAAGTGAAACTTTTCCTTAATTTCCAGCAGGCATTATGCTGATGACAAATTCCTGTTTTTAGCAAAAGTGAAATGCTTTTTCTCCTTTAGACCCAGGCTGTGAGGGATGGCCTATTTACTCTCCATGTCTGTTAGACATGATCACCTCTCATTTCTTAAAGATGGACAATGAACTGGCTACCCTGGGCTTGCAAGACACTTATCTGTGGCTCTGCCTGCTGTGCCAGCTGCTACCATCTAAGATATATATAGATATAAAGCACCAGCACATAAAGAATTCATGTTCACTAATTCATTCACTCAGTCATGAGCAAATGCTTTTTACATATCTGCATAATTAAAGTGAATATTCACACAATTTTAAGTAAAGATTTTTAGCTCCTTTAGTAAATTAGCTAAGTGTGTGTGTGTGTGTGTGTGTGTGTGTTAATATATATTTGCTGTTATGATAATTATTTGTGTATAGATTATATGATTTGCTATTATTATTTCACACACACTAATTGTCCTTTTTGGGCCCAGTGTGATGTCTAGCAGGGCTCATCAGGTACATGGGGTTGTAAGGCTTACCTTGATCTGTGATAGACCTAATCCCCAGGATATCAGTGACAGAGTGTGAGGAAGGCCAGGTCCTGGCTATAGCCATGGTGCTGGATATTGAGGGCATTCCTGGGGGTGTGGGTACCTTGGCTCCAGCTGCGATGGGATTGGGATAGGGGTAAATATGATTGTATTGGAGTGCAGAGGCGGCTGTGGCATGGTGATGCTGTTTGTGATTGTCATAATGACTTTGCTGGGACAGATTACCGATCTTATTTCTCAGGATCCTGCTGATAGAGCTGACCGATGGCACGTTGTACTTGTCGCACACCCCATCTGCCAGGAGCCGGTCTCTGATCTCCCAGGCGAAGATCCCGGGGTCCCTCTGTTTGTAGGTCCTGATGTGTTTTACCACGGTCGGGGTGGTGACCCGGGGTTTGCTGCCACCGATGGCTCCTGGGAGGATGGATCCAGTTTCATTGTAGCGAGCCAGGATCTTACTGACACATCCATGGGACACCCGGAGCTGTCTACTGATGTCACAGGGCCTGATCCCCAGCTGGGCCAGCTCCACAATCCTCAATCTGATGGCGTTGGGGAGAGGTCTTCCGTTCACAAACACCCCTCCTAGCTGGTTCACTTCCCCAAAGGCAGGCTCTGTGGATGGAGAGGAGAAAGCTCAATCATTGATCCACAACACACGGGGGTCGATGTACTAAAGGAGTAAAGGTTGCGCACTTAGCAAAGTCAATGTTAGTAAATAAGGTCAGTCTGTGTTGACTTCGAATGCACTAATAATATTTTATTTTACATTTTGTTTGCACATGATTAGGTGTTTAAAGTGAGCACAGGCTTACTTTATCAACCAATATTCACTCTGCCATGAAAAAAAAAAACATTTTGCTAAGTGGCAGCCTTTGTTCCATTTGTAAATCACCCCAGAGCAGTCCAGCAAGTGTGCCAAAGTCACAGTCATCATGAGGAAATATTCAGTTCCTGATCTAAAACTGCTCAAGTGCTGAACTCTAGCGAAGCAAAGAAAAGGACAAATGCAGTAAGCACAGCAGCCAATGAGAAACAAGCCTTCACTTTTCTCACTACCCTAAAGCGATGAAAGGTTAAATTTGATTGGTTGTTGTGTACCACTGCGTTGCGTGGGTCACTGCTTCTTTACTGGAAAGTAATTGAAGGTATTGACAACAAGGTGTTCAATCCAAAGAAGACAAGAGCCCTAAGCCACATAGACTTCCATTCATAATGGATAGGTAAAAGGTTAATTAATGGAGTGCAAAGTGTCACTCACCTCCATGGCAGCAAAGGGGTTAAACAGTCTTATCTGCAGTGGCTGCTCAGTGATCTCAGACAACATTTTATGGCAAAGCTTTTTTTTTTTCTTTCCAAGAGGGTTGTTAATGAAGCCTCCAGTTATTGCTATGCCTGCCTCTTGCTAATGATCCTTAACGTGCTTGCTGCCTGCTTGTAGGGACAGGATCGTGTAAATAGCTGAGACAGGACTAGGAAAGAGACTCCAGCCTGACAGCTCTGTGCAGCCCGGACCCCCAGCTGTCCCACTTACCCATCATTGAACACAGGCTCCCGGGGTATCCAATTGTAGGAGCTGGGAAGGAGCAGGCCAGGATGAATGTGGGCTTTCCAGCGCTAGCTGATACCAGGGATCCGGGAATTAAAGGTGAGGACCTTCCTGACTTGGAGAAACTGTCTGTATTTCCCTCTAATACAACGTGGGCAGGGTAGGGCTGGGCTGGACTGTCATTCTGACAAGCCACGCCCCTGGTGGGCGGGCTCCTGGAAAGGCTCCACTCCATTGGACGCCTGCGGTGACAGTCAGGGGACTGTGGTTGTGCCAATGCTGTCCGCTGAATCCCGTTCAAGCATGCTCTGCACCTGGATTACAGGAGGGGAAAGGCGGATTCACCCTCTGAGATGCGGTAAGTCCCATAAACACTGGAAATATGGATTCAGAGGCTGGCCGGGCTAATTGTCCTCCTTTAACCCTCTCCTTGACGAGCAGATCCCAAATAAATACGCTGCCTCAATGGTCACATGACATTTATTGGAGTCCCGATCCAAGTTATTTTATTATTGTGTAGCTTCAAACCCAGTGTATTTTATTCTGCAAAGATATGTTCTTGCATGTATAATATTAGAATGCATTGCTATTTGTTATATATGTATGTGTGTGTGTGTATATATA